CAGTGAGGATTGAACTCGCTACCATGATGTCTGCTCTGTTACTTTAAAATCAAATAAGATTGCATGAAATCAATTTTTTTTAAATTTTACTTGGTGTTTGTGAAGGAAAAAAATTTTTTTTTAAATCTATATAAATTAAGATTTGGTAAAATGAACAAATTTAGACAGATTCAAACTATAGTTGACATTATTAGAATATATTCTGTTCTGTTTCAGACAAAAAAAAAAAAAAAAAAAATTCATTTTATGGAAATTATTAGTAAGAAGATACAATATCCCTACTGAGTGGATACCAACATAAAATGAAATTTAATTAACATAAATCATAATTTATAGAGAAAGATAAAATTTACACAGCATTTAAAGTACCACCAAAGAAAGTGATACCTAAGGTTTTAAAATTTATTTTAAAAATAAAAAAAAACTTTCTCTGAAGCTTTTAGTTTTTAATTTTAAGCAAATAGATTGAATTTCTTATGTCAAATAAGCAAAATAGTTTGCTGTATTTCAAAGTGAATTTAAATTGATTGGAATTATTTTTTTTAAATCACTAAAATCGGAAATATTGTCAAATCTGTCAACACAATGTAATTCATCTTTATTAAAAAAATCTTTTAAAAATAAAATATACTTTTCTAAAACTTTATTTGGGGAAGATTAACTAATTTAAACTTTAAGTGATCTGATTTGAAACAAATATTACTTTTGTAATCACAGAAAAGCATTTTTTAACACAGGTGGGTGTTTTTATGACTTACTTAATGTTTTGCATTTTAAAATAAAAACTAAAAATCACTTGATGAATACAACATGAATGCCTTTTTATATATGAAATTATTCTAAATAATCTAATATTGTATTGAATTTTGACTTTATAGTCTTACTAAGATGTTTGCTGAGGAAATGTTAGAAAATTACAAATAAATTTTAAATTTACTATAATTACCACTCTTATTTTCTGTTAATGCTGTGTATAGGTATTTACAAAAATCGCCATACACAAAAACATAATTCAAATATTTAAAAAATAAAAAGAAATATTAATTATTAATTGAAAATGTTTTTTCTTGAGACAATAGTGTCCATAATATATCGTTATAATGTACATATATATATGTATGTGTGTGTATATATATATATATATATATATATAAATATAGATGTATGTATGTATAATATATATAATCATAATATATCTTCATAAAAGCAATTACAAGCTTTTCTAATTAAATAAAGTCTTAGTTGTATTGCATTTTTTATTTTAAAATTCAGAGCAGATTTTCTGTAACTGAGGGTCCTGTTGGACAAAATTAATTGGTGATTAATATCATTATAACTAATAAGTATATTAAACACTACAAAAATGAATTTCTCAAGATTACATAAAATTAAATAAGTTGAGGTTAACAGATGTGACAAGATTATTTTTTACTAAGATTTTTGAAAAAAAGAAATGCTTCTAAAACAATTTCATTAATTTGTGAATAAGTCATGAAAGTTTAATTAAAATCTGACAATTATCTGATTTTTGTAAGAAATTCCAAATCAATTTGTTTCTCCCCACAAAAAGACGCTCAAATTTCCCATACATACAAAACTATTTTGTTTTTAAAAAGTATAATTAATAATCAAAAAATCTTTGGTCTTTCCTTTTATAATAGCATAGAGATTTTGAGGATAAAACTTTGTTCGTATTAAGTTTGGGGCATTTTTTCATCATGTATGCACATTTTTTAGCAAATCTTAGGAAAAGTAACAGCCCAACATGTGAATTACAAATTAAACAAGCACAAAAATTCAAATACCTGGGAAGTGTTTTAACTGAGGATGGAAAATGCAACACAGAAATCCAAAGGTGCAATGGGATAGTGAAAGATGTCTCCCCAAAGTTAAGCAAAGTATTAAAAAACACAAAAATTTCATTAGCAACAAAGAAAAGAGTACTAAACTGGTATCTAATATCATTCTTCTTATATGGCAGTGAATGCTGGACAATCTCATCACAGATGGAGAAAAGACTTAAGGCAACAGAATTGTGGTTCTACAGAAGGATGCTGAGAATACCATGGACTGAACATGTGAGCAAATACAAAGGTCTACAGACAATGGCAACAAAAAGGACATTTATACTTAACATCAAGAAGAGAGTTGAGGTTTCTGGGACACATGAGGAAGGCAGGCTTGGAAAATTTGATACTTACAAGAAAGATTGAAGGTAAGGACAGATGAAAGCATTGCACAACCTACCTAATGAGTGAATGGATGGTAGAGCAGGGTATGGAAAAGATGGTAAAAAAAAATAAAAAGTTACAAAGAACTACAAAGGACAAGAAATTGTGTAAAGCCACGATTGCCAATGTCCTGAAGGGACACTGCACACACACATATATATATATATATATATATATATATATATTGTTTTCTTATATAGAAAAATTAGAAACAAAAAGTACACTAGTAGCATCAGAAAGAGAAGTTGAAATTTCTAAGGCATATAATGAGGAAAGAAAGCTTCAACAATTTGGCATGTTGAAAGCAAGAGGAACAAAGGAAAGCAGCATGTGACCTATCTAATGAGTATTTGTAAATGGTTTATAGAATAGGGATTAAGAGATATAGCAAAGACAAACTTTACTAGGGGCTATAAAGGACAGGAAGTTGTGAGGAGCCATGATCACCCACATCCTGAAGGGTCACAGTATATAGAAAAATACTAATTTTACTATGAAAACATTGACTTGCATAATCAAACAGTGTATAATACTTGATAATTGAACCAAGTAATTCAGTAACATTTAAAGAGAGAAAATGAATCATTTCTCAGTGCCAGACAATTACAAACAAAAGACTAATTTGTATGCGTTGCACTAAATGTCTTTAACATATCAAATTCTACACTTCAACTAAAAGAAAAAAAATTCCTGCCAGCAGACAAAGAATTTTGCTAACAGTAAAATTAAAAACAAGAAACATTAAAAACAAAAACAAAAAAACGAGTGGGGGTTCATTTGAACTAAAAATTTTAATTCAGTTTTCTTAATGTTATTTTAGAGAAATATTTATTGATATATTCTGATGTTTGGCTAGATTTTTCCAGTATTCTAACATTTTCCTGTTGGTAAGAGTAAGTACAAAAATTTCCCATAATAATTTCCAATTGTCCACTACTTTAGCCATTTTCAATGGGGTTTTGTTTTTGGTTTTGGGACAATGAAAATTATAGGTAATTTTTGTACTCCCTTACTCCCACCAAACAGAAAAACATAAGGATGTTGGAAATATTCAATAAAAAATTAAATTTTCTTTGCCTACCATATTTTACAAGAGATACACACACCCATATATATATATATATATATATATATATATATATATTACATGTATATAACACTTTTCTCAGGGTACAGACATTGTGCTCTGACCCTAGACAGAAGAGATATTGAAGTTTATAAAAATTGATTGTTTTTTACAGTTTATCATGTATGTATGTTAGTTACTTAAAGCCAAAAAAATATTCCAGATTGTAAGAATAATTTTCTCATTTTTGTGAATATTACAGTAACAATCTTTTGAAAATGAAAATGATTTTTCTTGACTCCTACTAATTATCCCATAGCTGGGAGAAGAGATGGATTCATACATTTCCCAAGGGCATTTGTATGCAAGTGAACTTAAAGCCAACTGGAATTTGAACCAGGCCCTCTGATTTCTTATTTCAAGCCACTATCCATTACACCAATAAAACATCCACAAAAGTCATAGAAAATGAAAGAATTCATATTAACAATAGAATAATGTATACAGGTATATAGGATGTTGTGTTAATCAAATATATAGCCCATCTTTCTAATTATTTATATTTATGTTGCACATGGTTTGCCAAATAAAACCCAATTCAAATCTTCAAATTTATCAATATTTTTTTAATCAAGATTGAAATATTATAAGTGGAAGCTTACACTATATATTACTCATATAAATATATCCTGAAAATTTTAGCAACATTTATTGGTTATTGCTAATTTTACTGTGAAAATAATAAAATGTGTCACTTTACAGATATTAGTCTAGACTATAATTTTAGGCAGCAGTACCAATCCATATGCAAACAGTGCCAATAAGAAGAGTTGAAATTGATGCATCCAAGATTCCACATCTCCTTCATAGTCAGCCTATGAACTTTTCAGCACACTCTTGTATTGCAATAGTACCTACCTGCACTGATAGAATATACAGATGACTTTTATTTCTAAGTTTCATTTCCTCATGTAAGCCCCTTTTAGTAAGTGTTTCACCCTCATCCCCAATCACAGTAAATAAATTTGCATGAGCTAAAAACCTTAAAAGAGAAAATGAAATTGCAGTTGTGAATGCAGAAGTCATTTTGAATATTTAGTTATTCAATTTTAGTGGGGTTTTTTTTGACTACAAAAATAACTTATGAGTTTTCAGAAAATGTGTATTTTGTTGAAATGTTTTTGCGATGAATAAGTGTAATTCAAATAACCTTTTGCAAATTTTAACTTCCCATCTTCCCTCAAATTCAACAAACATAAATAACATTGAAACACTCACATATTTATAAGCATTTACTAAATAAGACAACAAAATCAATTTTGATCAGACTGCATTTCCAATGTGGAAATATAATTTATTTCAATTCCTGTTGGCACCAACAAAAATTGCTGCTTTTCTCTTTATTAACAAATGAAAGCGATGGAATTCTGAATAGTTTCTTTGCTTTCATAAATGTAAAAAGTTTAATTTAAAAAATCCCATTTATTCAAATGTTCATGGAGCAAATTTATAATTTTTACATTGTACAAAAATTACCAAAGTGAACTTTGTATGACATTACTGGCTCCTTCACCAAACTGGAAAAGAATCAAATGATTTGCAGTTCTTTAAATGTAGAAATTATTCTCACAGATGGCCTTTATAAATTCTCCTGCATGTTTGATGTTAGGAAATAAAAAGTCCGAGAACTATTAAAATCAGCATCAAAATGATAAATCTTCTTTAACTTCTGAAGTTCCAGTTTTAACTCCAATCGTCATTAAAGAAATTACCTGAAAAAACAAAAATTAATTGAAACATTAAAATACCCAAAGCAGAAAAGAGATGAACTAAAATGTTTCTAAAGAATAAAATGATCCCAGGAAGAATGCCAGCAAAATAATTAAAAAACAAAACAAAGCAAAAAAACAATTCAAACTTGCTGAGTTTTTTTGCCAACAGATTTAGAGTTTTGGTTGGTAATAGTCATAAGATCATTGGTAATCATTGTTATCCATAAATCCTGACTTGATGCCTATTACAATATGCAAAATAAGGCTGTAATTGAATAAGTTATGCATACAGATTCTGAATGTAATGTTTCTGAGATATATGCATGTATTTGACATACTAAAACAATTCTGAGTACAGATTTGGGATGGGCATTTTCAATTGAATAACAAGTATGATAAATAGAAGACAAAATATTCCATAAGTAGGCATGTAATGCAAAATCTTGACATGCTAGAACATCTAAGAGTACACATTCAGAATTTCCATATTTGATTTAATCTAAAACATATGCTTTTACTCCAGTAGTAAAATTTTCATTATTTTTATTAAACTATTTTTATTAATTCAGTAAAAGAACAATTTCCTTTTTACTTTCAGCACCTGGAATTTTTACAGAGTAATGCTCAAGTAGAACATTCATTTCTAAGACCAAATAAGAATGGGTGTTTTTTTTAATATTTAGATATTAAGTTTGATTTGTATGACAAACTGACTAATACTGTGACCAAAACTTATTTAATATCTGAAATCTGGTAATACTTATTTAGCAGGAATGAGATCAGATGTTACACTTGGTCAGTTTGGCAATTTATGTTTCGGTTTTTAATTTAGTAATTTTTGCTTTCTAAGGAAGCCATTTATTTTCTTGTGTAATAGCATTTCCAGTTGATAACTGATTTTGTTTGAGATTGATAAATTTGCAACTTAGTCTCTTCAACTCACAATTTCTCATGTATTTCTGGTCCATTCTTAAAAATATTCATATGGCTGGAAAGAAAATAATATTTCTAAATATGCAATTTTATGTGCTTTTATTCATTGAATTACTTTTTACAGTGAGTTAAAACAGTATTTTGCTTTGAACAGCCAAAAATGTGAAATATGATTTTATTATTTTTTTTTTTTTTTTTTTACAAGATTAAATTTTACATGTTACTTTTTTTTGGCAAAATCAAAGTGACCAATCTTTATCAATATTCTTGAAATTTTACACACACTCAATTAGAAGACACCTTAAACTACAACCAGGGAGATTTTCATTTCTTCTCTAACTCATAGAAGTGAATTCCTTCAAAAATTATGAAGTAAACAAAAAAGAAAAAAAGAAAAAAAAAAGCAACTGATTGTAATGTGTGGTAAATGAACTTTCAAATTATAGAAACTAATGTCTGATGCCGAGAGACACTTGCTTTCGATTAAAGTTTATTTATTAAAGCTTTGAATAAATTGTCACCTATAAATAAATACCATATTTATTAACAAATTGGTAAAATACAAAAGAAATCATCACATAAACTATCTATATTTATGTTTTTGGACAACACATTTGAGAGAGAAAATGGTATAGCTCTCCAGAAATTAGTTTATGTGGCTTTTAAAAAGCCAAAAAAGAAATCCCTCATTTTTTTTTAAAAATACAGCAATTCTTTTATGGTATCCCAGTCAACTTTTATTGGGAGTCTTACAAATAAATTTCTTCTAAACAAAGAAAATCAATGAGTTTTTTCTCCTAAATAAATTTGTTTTTATGTAGCGAAAAAATAATTAAAAGCTTTTAATTTCATTTTTAGAATGTGTATATTTATCAACTTGTATATCTACAAGTATCACCTGTTCTTTTTAAGATACACATTTTAAAACAGAAATTAAAAACTATTTTAATCATTTTAATATATAGTCTTAAGTGTATTCGCTAGATAAAACCATAAAGATATTTGTAAAAATAAAATAAATTAATTTTCCTTGTTTAGAAGAATTTTATAGGCAGAACACCCCCCCAAACACTAGTGGCTAAAAATTAATAATTTTTACTTTAGGTTTAAAACAAAATAACATGCAGTTTTGAAAATATACACATTTTAAAACAGATTAAAACTTACTTTATTTTTTTAATATCTAATTTTGGGTGTATTCGCTAGATAGAAACAATTTTATTTGTAGAAAACAAAATATTTTACACTAGAGATTCGCATATCTGGAAATATACACATTTTAAAAGTGAAATTAAGAACTATTTTAATTATTCTTAATATCTAATTTAGGTGCATTCCCTAGATGAAAAATAAATTTGTTTATAAAAAAAATCTTCATTCATTTTTCTTGCTTACAACAACTTTATTTCATGATTGGTGTAATGGCAACTATTTTTTTTATTTTTATTCACTATTTTGTTGTTAACTTAATTTTAACACAAAATTTTTTTTTTTTTTTAAAACTGAAACAAAGATTTCAGACATCATGTATTTTCCTTTTTATCTGTTTGAAAATATGATTTCTAAGTGTCATATCTGACGAATTTTCTTTTTTTTCTTCTTCATTTCTTTTGTAAACAAAACTAGTCAATTAAATGTTTTTAACATATTTTTGTTCAATCTTTTTCTCTTATAATGGTATATAAATGTTGATAAAATTTAATTAACATCTGAAAGCTTTTTGCAATAGTGTTTCTTTGGATATGGTCACTCAGTAGCGATAGATAGCACTGTGACTAAACTGAACGATTTTAGTTTTGTAAAAGACTGATGAGGTTTCAGTGTAGAGATGAAACTGCAAAAAAAGTTGGTTTTTGAATTAAACCATCCATCTCTATCAGATGTATACCAAAAATTGAACAGCATTTCAAAATATACCATTCAAATAACATTTTTTTTCTTAACACATAAAAATTAAAAATATAATACAACAATTTTACATTAAAACCAATCCTTTGTGATTGGAGAAATAAATTGTCACTTGTCAACCTTTCACCATGTAACATTTCTAAAACCTAGTAGCCTTCTCTTCTCTTCCTAATGTGCCATTCTAGACTCATAGAACCAGCTGATGACTAGCTGATTTATGCCACAACCAAAATTCAAAACAGCACTACTAATAATGTTTTATTGCATTACTTGTATAACGAGAAAGAAATATTGGGAAATAATCTAAAAGCATTAGGATAATCACAAGTGTTCAATTCACAATTGGATCATTCCAGTAGTAGATAAGTAAATTAATTTCACAAACCTTTTTAAATTTTGCTTGGATTTTGCGCAAATCTGTGATCAAATTATCATGCTTTGAATTTTCAACAGGGAAATTCTTCAAGAGATTTAACAAAGACTCTAATAAGGAACCAATTCTGAAGAGGAAATAAAAAAAAACAAATTGAAACAACTGAAGAGGAAGAAGAATTAAGAATTATTTAGAGAATCTTAAGAAAAAACAAACACTTCATAAATAAGATAAATTGGTTTTAATTCAGTTATCTCAGAAATTTTTAACATTCTTTTTACTCTTTTGAAAATAAAAAATTCCATGTTATTGTAAACTGAAAAAAATCTCAAAATACAGCACCACTCAATATTAATAAAATGCAGAAAGATTATTCTTTCCAGATGATTCCAAAGTTTTTTGGGAACTATCAATTCAGTCTCCATAAAATTTTGATTGGTATGCATTTTTATCATTAAAGACTACATTCATCAATGCAGTCTAAACATGTATTATTGAAAAGAAATGAATTAAAAACAAAAAATAACATGTTTTTCTAGATTATTTTAATGTTTTAAAAATGTTATTGCTAAAATAAGATTAGCATAGAAATGGGAAAAGGAAGCAATGGTATGTATGTCTTAGATTTTTTCCAGGATAAATAATTTTTGTGTAATAAAAATTTTTTAGTTATTACAAAGAATTAAGAAGCTATTTGTTTTTAAGTACATTAAACACAAATAAAAAGATGATTAACTTGATTAACAATACAGAACAAGATGTTTTATTTGGTGATTATTTTAGTAAAAAAACATTTGATAAATTTCCTTTTTCATGATTATTGAAAATGTATTTTTAAACTTCAAAGAAATTTCTTTTGTTCTTTGAATAAAACATAAGTAATCTCTATTTTATATAGTGAGATGCAATATATTTGCATTTCTAGCAACCAAGAGATGATGGCCAGAAGAATTTGTAGAATTTTTTGCTCAATGGACCACTTCTGAACTACTCTTTAGAAAGAACAGAACCAAATTCCTTATATAAATTTGAACCCTTAATAAGTGAAAATTAATCAAAGCTCTAGCTCATGTTATGGATTTTACCCTTGTTTACTTCCATGGGAAATTTACTCTTTGGAGATAGAAAAATCAAGTAAGAAGATGTTTGATCTGAACTCTGGTCACGTAAGAAAGAATGTAAAAATGTATAAAATTTAAAAACAAGGTGGAAAGAAAAATTTAATCACCGAGGCTTAACTTCAGGATTGTCTTTCAATAAAATCAACCAGGTTGAAACAAAACCATTAAAGAATCCAATCTGGGAAAAAAAAAAAAAAAAAAAAAAAACGCATGAAAAAACAAAAAAGAAAAGTAATTAGTTATTTTGGATCACTTTTCATAAAAAAAATAACTAAAAAAATAAAAACAAGTTCATTAATTGAAATAAATGGTAGAAATAATAACAGGTGTCTGAAGAAGGCTGGAATCTGATAGTAAATAATGATAACTCCACATTCCAGAAATTCAGACAAAAACATTACAATTATTTCTTAATTTAACAGGTGTATATTCCACTATTTACATTATTCGGACTATTGTCCTCATCTTTGTTGCCATATTCATTACGTTTCAGCCGTTGTATGCTCCGGCCTTCTTCAGGTGGTTGGAATGTCGAACTGTATATTCCAGTAGTAAAACTTTAGATCACCCATAATTCTGAGTATAGAAATTCAAGCCTAATTAAAAGCAATGATAAAAACATTGCTCAAATTAAAAAAAAAATGTTGCAAGGCCACAAACAAATAGATTCACTGTAATTTTACAAGTACATACTGTATGAGGAGGTTCTAAAAAATTCTCCCCCCCACCGCCTCCGATCAAGAATAGATTTTTAAAAATTCTTTTTTTTTTTTTTTAAATTTTATCAGATTTTAGGAAGTGGGTTAGGCTGAGAAATTTACAGCACCATCATACATAATTGTGATACAAATGTGTTACAGTACAATTGCACCATTATGAATATTTCCCATTAAAAGTCATCAATAAACTATATGAGCTTAAACTGTAGCTATACCTCCAGTAGGAATAAAAGTTTCAGTCATTTAAATTCTAATAAATAACAGAATATGATTTGTAAGTTGAGTGTATAATTGAAGGTATCAACTGTGCATTAGACAAGCAGTAATTCAGCTTAACATTTAACAAAAATGTACAAGTTACATTCAAATTAAATAAATTTATACCAAAGGTGCAATTGCTTCCTTGTATTATTCCGAGATAAGTAAAAGTTTCCAAGGCCATAAGTTTAATTTATAATAAAGGAAAACTCTATGCTTTATTTCATAATAATAATTTACACATATATAGTGGAAATTTGAGTTTGTGTAACAGTTATGAGTTAACAAAAAAAAAAAATCAGTTTGAATTCAAGATCCAACTTTCCCAGCACTCTGTCCTATTTAGAGTCATTTCGGACATGGTCTTGATACTAGGATACCTACCACTGGCGTAGAAAAAGGAAGAATAGGTGAGTGAGTGCATGGGCAATCTGTTCTCCCATAATTACCTGCCAAGACAGTGGCTGCAAATATGGTGGCAATAGCCATTACCAACATTAACAGAAGGGAGGCCAGCCAGTGTTCTTTACCAAGCTAAACTTACTTTTCCAAAAGCATCCATATGAGGAATGAATTCAATACAATTGTAAGAAGTTGTAAAATTAGCTTGCTGAACATTATCCCAAAGCATATATATATATATATATATATGTGTGTGTGTATAATCATATTTGAATAGGCACTCTGTTTATTTATTAAACTGCATATTTATTTAATTCACCTACCGGCCTGAATATTTGAGAAATCTTATTAAAGAAAAATTTGCACCCTTTGACAGAAATCAAACCCGCATGCCTCAGGGAAGAGAGAGTCATCGCTTAGCACAGCGTGCTTTACTGCTTGAACATGAAGAAACAAACATCAATCATGCTTTACATCTTGTTCCTTCATGGCCAAGTGGTAAGGTGCACTGAGTTAAATGGTTGCTCCATCTACCCTGAGGGAAGCAGGTTGGATTTCTGCCAAAGGGCACAAATTTTTCTTTAATGAGATTTCTCAAATATTCAGGCCAGTAGTTGAAAAAAAAAAAATATCAATGTATTGGATATTGTGACAGATTTACTCCTTCACCTTAATTAAAGCTCTCTACAACTGATGCCACAGTAGCCTTTCTATTCATACTTGGTAAAACCAGTGTTCACTCTTCACAATTTGTGCCTCAGTAGACCTTCTATTGGTAGTTAATGATTTGCCTCTACTAAGACCAATGTCAATATATGAACCTTACAAACTGCTGTTTTGGAAATACATTGACCTAGTCTTCTGGTTATAATAATTTGACTTTTATGAAAGTCATACAAATCTTTCTTCTTTCAAACATCTGTTGTATTTAACATGTTAATGAATTTATCTTACCTGTTTATAGATTTCTAACCATAACATGTTATGAATCAGTAGATTTTATTTTTGTCACTGATCGTAATATTCAATGTGTGCATGCATATATTATATACATGCATAAAGAATATGAATGCATAATTATGACTGAAGAAACAATACGTAAAAAGTAAATATGTGAAACAGAATAAAAAGGATGATTACTTCAACTCCAATATGACTTCCCATAGCATAGCCCATCTTGTATCCATCACGTTGACCAGTTTCACATCCATGTTGGTGTCCTTCATTAAATCCTTTCTCCACAGAACTAAAGGTAAAATAAAAATCAAGAAAACTTGAATATGGAATTTTATTTAATTATTATTTTATGCACTAATAAGAAGAAAAAAAAAGTTATGCATTCAAAATAAACTTGTTTCTTTGGATTAACAGAATGTTACATAATGCCAAAAGTAACTTTAATTTGAATAACTGATTATAGGAATCTAGTGAAAAAGGCCACTTCTATAAATGACCCCCTATCAAATCTATTAAGAATTATATTATTGTTTATAATTTTAAGAAGAATCTACATCATTTCAAGAGATTGTAATTTAAAAGTTCAAATAAACTTGCAATGTATTCTCAGCATTATATATTTTACAATTTCAAAAATATTTTTAAAAAAAATATAAGTATTCTTAAATTTAAATATATTTTCTCATTTGAATGAAAAATAAATGTTTTCAGAAAAATTGACATTTGGACATTGGAGCTTTTACAAGTAAATAACTAACCATTAATTTTTCTTTTTCTAGGTACATGATAAAAAATGTACTTAAAGGATATGCAAAATGACCTAATGGTTATCAGAATGAAAATGAATTGGCAAATCAAATTTAAATTGAGACTATATATGTTCCCTTCATACCAACACACAAACTGTAAGAATTCACTTCCCCACTATGTTCTGTTCCTCTGGGATATACTGTGATATTTTTTTAATTATTTTTATGCTATGGTTTAAAAAAAAGATATATTTCAAATTAAAGATCCACTTTACTGCAGATATCATGAAATCTATTATGATCTGTCACATCACACTTGGAGAGGACAAAAGTATAAAATTTTGTGTTATAAGTCTAACCAACTTACACTGTGTCATATTCTGAAAATTTTACTAATATTGGTAAGTTAATACTAATTTTATAGTGAAAACATTGATTTGCATTATAAAATCTGACAGTGTATAATACTTGATAATTGAGCCAAGTAATTGAGTGACATTTAAAGAGAGAAAATGAATCATCTCTCAGTGCCAGACTATTACAATGAAAAGACTAATTTGTATGCATTGCACTAACTGTGCTTAACATATCAAATTCTACCTTTCACCTAATGGAAAAAAAAATTCCTGCCAGCAGACAAAGAATTTTGATAACAGTGAAAGCTAAAATAATGAAGATTTTCAAAAATGTGTTTTCCTTCATACTAAAAATTACATTTTAACCCAGCAATGGGTTAGTAGAGCCTTCAGCCATGGTTGGCAACCAATCTAGGAGGACAACTCTGAATTCAAAACTGGTTGGGCACTAAGTAAAAAGCCTACTATAATCAACATTTCACCCTGAATTCTGCTAAAGAAATATTAAAATAAAATGTAATACATTTCTTCAGTTATTTCCAATACAATTTGAAGAGAACACAGTGAAAAAATATCAAAAAAAAAAAAAAAACTTTAAATTTATATAATCAACAAGTTGATTTAAATTCGACTTATTTCAATGATTTATCTACAAAAATTTAAAAAATGAAAGACTTTTATTTCAGTGTTTATTTACACAACATATTAAATGTAAAACAAATTATTAATTAACAAAAAATTAATCGTTTTTTGTCAATGTTCAATATTGATTTACCTTCCTACCTTAGTTACAAAAGAAAGCTAGCAATTTTTATAAATTACACTAGTTAAAAAAGAATTAGTTTACACTTTACAGATAAAAAAAAGACAAAATTTACAAAAAATATTTTAGGATCTAATAATGAACAATATTTAAAGTCTGAAATGTGGAAATACTCAATTGTAAACTATCAGACAGTGTATTGGTTTTTACTTTTTTTAAAGTGTGAAATAAAATAAAAAGATCCCCGCCTTGATCATCATGAAAGGAAAATAAAAGAAAATTACAACTTGAATCATACATTTTAGGTTACACAATTCTTAGACTATTTAAAAAGGGGTTTGAAAAATATTCCAGTCATGATAGCAACAAAAACTAATTTAAAAATAAAAAAAAAATACTTGTATGGGGGAAGCGAGCGACTGACTCATTATACCCCACACCACTAAACATCATTCTGACAATATGCCAAATAATAAAATATGCTTTAGGAAATTCATTTTGGCTTTTTAGATATCATATTTTTCTTTTATATTGTGACAAATCTTATTAATAACAAATTATAAAAACATCAAAGAAAAAACTGAAAATGCAACCCATTATACCCCACTCACATTTAAATTATGTAAGTGTTAAGTTTGTCTTACAAACAGCGTTAAAAATATAAAATAAATTAAAGTGAAAATCGTCATCTATATCATCAATCCAGAATAATTTCGATGTAATTTTACAAGCTTCAAATATTTTTAACCAAGAGTTTCTTTTTTCTTATTTAATTAAGAAAGTAAAAAAATCCAACCACATGTCGACTCAATTTCACAAGTGCAACTAACTAACTGTAGTTGTTTTTTGGAATTTGTAGATCCATTCACTAATTTAGCAAAAAAATAAATGACGATGAAGAAAAATAACATTACTGGAATTATGAATATTTTTCTAAAAAATATAAAAGGATTTTTCCTTTCTCTTGATCATGCTGCATAGCATAATTGTTAATTACTCTCTCCCAAAATGAAAAAAAAAATGCCATCAAAACTAATTTGAGAAGGATTGTAATGTCCTCAATTCCTGGGTTGGGAAATTTTGGTAGAGTGACAAAATTATTTACCAACAGTCGTTAAGAAAATATGGAAAACATATTTCATTAAAACAATTTTCTAATTTATTTTGAGTTAAGAAAAAAGATTGTCTTATTTTCTTTTTTTAAGTAAGGAAAATTATCATTATATCAAAAATTTAGAAAAAAAATACAATGAACTTAAAAAAAACAAGAAAATTACAACAGGTTACTTTGTTTTACTACAATTCAAATCAAACTATCGCTTTCGATTTAAATTTCAAAAAATATATTCCCATTTTTAAGAGTTACGTCTATAAAAATATTTTACTTTAAGTTTTAAAAAGCAGAAATATTCACGATAATTTCTAAAAGGCTGAAAAATCTTTTTAAAATAAATCTGAAATCGCCATGTGTTCGAACGACCAAGGTTGGCAATTGTTGAAGCAAAACAGTTGGAGGGAAAAAGAAATAAAATTGAGCTTTGTTTTTTAAATACGCAGACTTTCTTGTCTTTTCTTCTGGTAAGATAAAAAAATGAAAAAATTCACAAACCTGTTCTCAATCATAACAATTTCATCGAAAATATCGACATCGTCGGGAACATCTTCAATGTTTACGTTCCCTAGTGACATATTTATTACTATTAAAATATCGTGTAGTGTTGATGTCAAATGTTAGAATTATCTCCCTTGATTAAGCGGAAGTCGCTTGTTCTCACGGTTAAATCATAAAAAATGTTATTTAATAATAATTTCTAACCTTTTTACTTCAAAATAACCTTATAAAACAATATATTATAAGTATCTTATGTAAATATATAAAGCTAATTGAAAACTATTTAATTTCCAAATTATTATAGAGGCTAAAATATATTCATATGTTAAGTAGATAACCCTGCTACTTTTATTACAAATAATCTTGTTAGTATATATAGTAAACGGTGAGCATATTAATTGTGTTGCAAAAAAGGAGAGACGGTTAGCACTCCCCTTGACAAGGACGGAATAAGATCATTTGATCTTCCTAACACATATGGGCATTTGCTTCCTACTTCGAAGCAAACCTATTTTTTTACATTATATTCTCCTCGTATTTTACTGAAACTATAAGAAATGCTTAAATAATAAAAATACACTATATTAATGTACAAAGTACATTAAAAATGTTATTAAAACAGATTTGCTACTAACTATACTTTTGTAATGATGACTCTTGTTGTCATTATTAGGTTTATTCTACAAATAATCTGCTTACATTTATTTTCCAAATAATCTACTTGAAATATTTTTTACTATGCATAGGTTAGTTTGAACACAAGTATAGGGTATCTAGTGAGGGTCAAACTCACTACTACACACTACTACTTGACTACTTTGTTAACCACTACTCTTTGCCAAAAAAAGATAATATATTTGAATTTGATCATTTTTGGGGCCTGAGAGTTACACTGCTAATTAGGACTGTTTTGTGTCTGAGGTAGTTTTATATTTTCACAATGGTGTTGTGGAAGGTTTAAGGGGTGAAAAAAATTCAATTTTGTAAAAATATTAAAATCATTCACAAAAAAAAGAAGAATGTAGATAAAGTGTAAATACATAAGTTTTATATTCCAGCAATCATTGAAGTATTTTATCTAAATTGTTTCTTATTTTTTTGTCATTTCTTCTTATAAAGACAGTTTTTATATGTCAAAGAATAGACTAAACTTCACATAGACTACTTGATACATTGTCTTTTAATTTATACCTGATGCATAGATAGTAGTAGACACAAAATGCACACAAATATTTAACAAAAAAATGCTAGACTCTATTTGAATGTGACTTACTTAAAGAGTATATAATTTCTAATAACTACTAGATAAATTACAAACATTTCTCTTAATAATAATTCAGCAGACGATGTTATTTTATTTATGGTAACTGGATTTTTGTCAATTTCCTTACTTGTTTTTTTTTTCTTCAATACTGTGCATCTGTTTTTATAATGGTTACTATTGCTTCTCGGCTTTTTGGCTGAGATTCGATCACGGCTACACCTAGCCAAGACCACCTATGACTAGCTTAGACCAGCTAAGACCAGCTTGGACCAGCAGCCCGAGTGAAAACACTCAGGTCCCCATGTTAAAAACCAACCTTGTGTCACAACCTGACCCAGTGGGGGGGTCAAGTAAATAAACGGCTTTTTGGCTGAGATCAAAGTGTAGTATCTGCCCCTGGACAGATAAACTACATTCCATATCTCAGTGTGTCTTTGTCCTTAATCTGATTCTCTCTCTACACTTCTATCTTTATTTCTTTCTTTGTTTCATTTTCCCATTGAAACCAAGTAGTGTCTTTTACCCTCTTTCCACACGATCAAAATTGTAATAGTCCATTATTTATGAGGTATTGCCATGGTGCAATGGTCATGCTAACTAATTAAGGTAGGGACAAGCAGAATTATAATAGGGTACATGATTAAATTCTGAAAGTATGCAGATTAATAATTTGATAAATATTTTAAATGCTGTATAATTTTTATCTTTTTCTATGAAAGATTACTTGATTAAATTTTATTTTAAATTGATATTCACTCCATAGAAATATTATATCTTAATAATTTTCAATAAAAAATGGGTTTTTATTTTGTCTGAAACTGATTAATTAATTGAATGTTGTGACCATTATAATTAATTAAATGCTGTGAGCATTATAATTTGAATCTGTTTAATTTATTCATTTTACCGAATCTTAATTTATACAGATTGTGGTAGAAATACCTCCAACAAAATGATAAGATATTAATGGCTATGGTGTTTTCATCTAGCTAATGTCTTACCATTATGTGGGAGATATTTCTGCCACATCCTGTATATATTATGTTAATTATGGATAAGTTGTGACAACATCTATTCCTACCATATATCATTATATTTTAGTTTGGGTGTATATTGGCCTTGTGTAATGATTAAAAGAAAATGCACAGATTGTTGGTAAATATAAAATAAATCTTTATATAACACAATAACACAAAGGATAAGGTGAAAGTTGAAGTTTCAAGGGTTCAAGTATAAAAGTTCTGGCATATATGAAAGAGAGAAAGAGTCCAGGAGAAAATAAATACATATGTATGTATCCAAATGTAGTAGCCACTACTTGATAATGTGATGAAGGAAGATATGTTTGTTTTCAATGTAGCAAGCACAGTGTAGCTGTCTAAAGTCGACAACTAGTCGTGCAAATGTATTTCATCTCTGGGTATATCATGATCAGCATCAGAGAATGTACAAAATTAATTTATTGACTCTGTGTTTATCTACACATCTATATATTCACTTTGAAAATGGTGCTTTGTTTCTCAGTGGCTCATAGCCTATATTCTGGCTGTGAATACATTCAGATTGATTGGTTAAACTATGGCTTTGTTTGCCTGGCAATTTTTATTATCCATCTATTTTTAGAAATGGCAAAATTTTGGTTGTTTTGTTATTTATTTATTTATTTCTCTATTACCACACTATTTTTGCATTTTTTTCTACAAAAACACCTAAGTGTCAGTGGTTTGTGTTTAAGCACAGGTAAAAGCAAGGGTTTTTAAATGTTGATTTTCAAGGTTCTTCTCACTGGGAAGATTAGTGCAAAACAATCTGATTACTCTCATTTACCAGAAAAAAACGAGCTTATATATGTATTTTATATATCTAAGCTTATATATCATTTTACATATCTAAAAATGCTCCATTGTACTCATGCAGGCCACTTTTCCAAGAAAAGTACAATAACTTTTAATTTTTTTATGTGGATAATATATCAGCAAACACATTTTCATCTAGTACAGCTGTACCCAACCTTTTTACTTCATGGACTGGTGTCATTTTAGACAATTTTTTCATGGACAAGGGAGGTCATGATCAGTCACATGCATAACAATAAACAAAACTGTGATAGTCAATAAAAATAGAAAATATAAGTTTTTATTATTTCTCTGTGGCCCAGTACCAAATGGTCTGCGACCTGGTACCAGTTCACAGCTCAGTTGTTGGGAACTGCTGACCTAGTACGCATTTCAGAAAAGTATTCATATAACAACGATGAATTTAGTAATACATATATAATAATCATATATTGTTTAGATGTATTTTAATCATCATGAATCAACCTCAGCTCTAAATTATATATTGTTGTGTTTTAATTATATATAGCATTTTATTTAATTACTGCTCCATGACGAGCTAATGTTGATCAGAATGTGAATTCAAATCTCGTTTAAAGCTGCTTGCTTTGTTCCAGTTCCCACCATTTAATTTGAAGGTCAAAGAAGATTCTGGGCCAAAATATTTTATTAAAAATATGGAGACAATCCCACCACAAAGTGTGACTTAATAAAAATACTTCATTTGAGAAAAGTTAAAAATAAATGGAATATGAGAGAAGCTCTACCAATGGAAGAAACATCTGTTTTAAAATAATGTTAGTAAACCTGCCTGCTGACCTACCTACCTATTTTAGTCGAGATCATAGAATCCACAACTCTGTAATGTAGTTAAATGTGAAGTCTATAATTCTCTCCATGATTGTGTAGTGACATTAAAGATAGTAGCATTAGAAGCTCTAAATAAAACTTATCTGCAGCAGCCCTCAAATATAAAAATATGTGAACCCTAAAATAATTTCCTCTTTCCATGTTTTCACTCTTGCAAACTGCTGACATGAACTTTCCACACTGAAGCTAAAAGAGCTGTGCATGCTTCTCATTAAACACACCGATACAGTAAGTTCCCACTATAACATATTAATGAACATTTCGTTGTGTATACAATTTATGTCTAACAAAAGAAACTATTGTTCTAAACTTTACTTTTGTTAATTTTGTTTTAATAAATGTTATCTTTGCATTGTTATATTGTGTATATATTCTTTTCACCATTATTATTCCCTGTGCTATAAAATGTTCCTGTAAGAAAACTTATGCATTTAATTATTGAAGTAGCTAATCACTAAAACTGTATAGTATACGCTTCACCAGAGCTACATATGCTTTTGAATTCAGAGTTATTCGTCTCCTAAACTGGCTATTAAACATGACTAGAGAGCCAAGTTTTGTTTGCTATATAAATCATAGCTGGGGGGAGAAGAAATAGGGTATTTGTGTAAAAGTGAATGCAACAAATTTTACTGGAATTTGAATATGGCTGACTAATTTCTCATTCTAAGCTGCTAACAAGCCACCTACACATGTATAAGAAAAAGTAGTCTACAAAAATGATGAGGATAAAATCAGAATTGAATTTGGTGATAGCAGAATGAAGTATAAACAACTTCAAATAGTTGTCAGCAGCTTCATGGCCAAATGGTAAAAGCACTGTAACTGGATATAGAATTGAAGTTTGATTTTTGTCTTTGGCTATTTCTTTGTTTTTAGTTCTCACAATTTAATTTAAAGGTCAAAAAATATACCAGTTGGAATTGTTAGGATAAGAAACACAAAAGTTAAAAAATGTGTCTAATCATGAAAATCCTTCCTCTCAGAACCTCAAACAACTTCTAATGTGTATGCTATTTTTATTTATTCATGTGTCTGTATGCACGTGTGTGTGTGTGTGTAACAGATTTGCCTTCTTACAATTTGTACTCTAATTGTGATGGGTGTTGTCATTTT